AAGCAAACAACAACAAAAGAAACATGAAGCGAACAAGGAAAACATATTGAAAAGATTTAAATCCTAGCATGTTGATGATTACATTGAGTATGCAATTATGAAATACATCTGAACCAAATATAGTGCTTTGACAGCAATGTAGAGCTTTGCTTGCTTCAATTACAAAAAACAAACAAACAATGGTAGGTTTCCAATCAATAATGTAAGGCAGGAGTTGGCAAGCTTTTTCTACAAAGGGGCAAAGTGGGAACTATTTTAGACTTTGTCTAAGTCCTGGGACCTTGTGGGAGTGTGTTATGTGAGTGTTGGAGCGAAATTCCTGTGGTTGGGGCCTTATTTTTTAACCTGGAACTCCCGGGGTATGGCACTGAGTTCCTTCTTGCTCCATCACCTCATGGCACAAGGCCAAAGAGCCACAGCAAAGAAAGGGACAGACATAATCCTTTTTAGCAAATCCATTCCCGAGATAATTCACCCATTTATGCATGTGGCAGAGCCCTCCAGACATGACCATACTGCCCCATGGGGAGTCACAATTCCAACACAGGAACTTTGGGAGACACTTTGAAAGAAGAGTTGTTCTCTTCTTCAGCCATTCCCCTCTACTGTTGCAATATCAAAACAGCCACAAACCATATGTAAGCGAGTGAGTATGGCTATATTCCAATAAAACTTTATTTGCAAGAAACAAGCAATGGGCTAGATTCCGTACATGTGCCACATTCTGATGATCCCTGCTAAAATATCAGCTACGCAAATGCAGTGAATTTTTTTTTCCACAGGTGCATCGCTGAAAAAGTTACAACAGTTTATGACCCTTAAAGTACGACTGATTAAATACCTGTTGAATGGATGCACTAATGTTATCCTTGGAACAAGCTTGCTACGTTAAATATGATTGTCATTTTGTGAATGAGTAAGCACACTTTTTTGGCAGAATTTTTTTTTTAGTTGATGATGGATTTTTAAGGTACTAAATGTGTTTTCTGATTTATTGTACTTCCAGCTTGTGATGGTTTTATGGGTTTTATCTAAGCCTTTACGGGTTTTAGATAGCCTTATGTAACTCAAGGAGCATCTGCACAGTGTGAGGAGATGATGTGCCTTGTCACCATCTGTGAAGGAAGCAGTATGCAAGCACAAGCCTCATGCCAAAGTCCTCGGCTTTCCTTTATCACACCAAGCAGGCAAAGGCATTTACTGAGTAAAAGTGTCCCGCTATAACATACATGGTTTCCACCTGTTCTTTTTCCATAGTCATGATGTGTACTTTCCTGATTCTTGGGATCAAGCAAACACAACACTAACATGTTAAAATTATATGTAAGTTTATACTCTCACCTATCTCATAATCTGTACCTATGAATTTTCTATGTGGACTATGTTTTCTGCAACAGATTGAAACTTGAACACACATTTCTTAGTTCTACAACTGGCTAGACTGGACACTTGCCTTCTTCAAAGCCTACAATCAGTTGGACGTGCTCATATGAGGCACATACTTGGGCAGTATTCATTTGTATTTATTCACACAAGGAAATGGAAAACGTAAGGAAAAACAAACATCAAAATGACCTGTTCTCTGCCTTAAAAAGGCCTCCTATCAGTCTTTTCGACAAAGGTGGGGCTCTTGTGCCGCTGACATATGGCAGCCCTAGCCAGTAGGCTGCTTATTTCATGCTTTCCATAACAATCCTCAGAGCTGATCACACATGTTTACTCAGCTTCTTAAATCAATAATCGGTGCCAGCTGTTGCTCAAAAATAGACCTTGGAAAGCACCAGCATGTAGATCCAGGAGCCAGTACAGCTCTCCACCTTTGTGGAATTCACATGGGGTTTTACCAGAATCACAACAAGCAAGGAACTTAAAGGAGCCAATAAAGGTTTTGCCATATTTTCCCTGTTTGATGCTTTGGGCAAAAATGTCAGAAGTCTGCCCATAGGATCAACACTGCATAGTAAGAAGCTATTATAGGGTAAGACAGATCACATCTATATCACTTGCTTGTCTTAAAGGCTTCAGGGTTATTGGTCTCAACATCATCACAATGAATGGTGATACTGTGCTGACACAGCCACTGAAAAATGACTAAATTCAGTCAAAAGATAAAAGTAAATGAAAAATGATATCATAAGGCTGAACTTTTTAGCTTCTTGACTGCAGAAACGCAAAATAAAAATGTATCTAATTTGTGTATATCAACGCAAATCTTTGGGAGAGATAAGAGTGCTGGCTGAAACTGCGTAAGGACAGTAGGCTGTGTCTTATTCGTAACCCATAAGAGCAAGAAATGCATCCTGAAAGGGTTCAGTTTTTGGCATTTGCATATGAGCTTAGGATAAGCAGGTTGTTCTGGCTCCTGGATAATCTCCTTGCTCTTCCCAGTGTAGTTTAAGGCAAACAGAAGGGCATTTCAAAGGACCAGTGGGAAAAAATGAAATTAAACAGATTCATTTTGGTGCAAAAATTTTTCAAAATACTTGCATATCCTTCAAAAAGTGTACAGAAAATACATATTATGTAAAAACTATGCATGAGATGTAAGAATTTTTTTTTGCCCCAAAACACATTTATCTATTCTATTCTGCATGACCTTTTTGAAGTACCCTCATATTCTCTAATGTTAAACAATAAAGCATTCAAGAAAACAGAAAAACCATTTCTGTTTATGGAACACATGAAGTGTTCACTTAATCCTAGCAGAAACACACTCTGCATCAGATAAATTATAAGGGGTAGAGCTAAAATTCAAACCAGTTCTTTTCCAAAATAAACCTTCTGGTCTTCACTCTGAAGCCATCCTGCACTATGTACTTGGTATGCATTATTTTATTTACTTCTGACCATGGTTCTAAATAGTAGACACTCTTACATTTCCATTTTACTGATAAGAAAAAGAAGGCAACGGGCTCAAGTCACACTGCTAGCAAATAAATGAAACGGGATTTCAGCCTCTGTATCTCACTGCAGAGCCCATGACCTTAACCACTAAACTACCAGAGTTAGACAGCACCCCTGAAACCATGTAGTCTCAAATTTTCTTTTTCTTATTCTTTAAAAATGCTAATATATAAAAACTATATCAATCTGTGATATACACAATGCCATACCACGCAGCCATTAAAAAAAAAGGTGTCATTGTATCTTCTGCAACAACAAGAATGGAACTGAAGGTCATTATGTCGAGTCCCTATTTTAGAGGTAACACCACAACCCAAAGACATGGCGATACATTCAAAGTCACACCCTGGTTATTGTAAAGTCAAGGCTAAAATGCAGGAGTTGCTTTGCTCTCCCTTCCTGCACTTGATCTAAGTCAAAAGGCCTAAACGTGATCTCATCTTCTTCCTCCTGCCCCTAAAATCCTTTTTGCAAAACCTGAAAGTGGAAGTATACTCTGATTTCTTGTACTAATAAGCATCTTATAACTTGTCCATATCACTTTATAAAGCATGGGAGGCCATCCTGATTTCTTAGAGATCTCCAGGAGTTGCCAACCCTTACAACTATAGGTGAATCAGAATATTTTAAAAACTAAAATAACGATGTAATTCAGATTTTATGAGTTTTTAATTATAATGGTTCTATTACGTTTTCTCCCTTACATTTTAAATATGTACGGTGATTCTTCTTTAATATATCCAACCTTGGTCACATACTGGAATCAGCTGTGTGATTCCAATACGCATCCTACATCCAAGAACAATTAAACTGAAATTCTGCAGTTGGAACCCAGGCATTAATATTTTTTAAAAACTAGATAGTGATTCCAATATGTGCACAAGTTTGAGAGACAGGGCTTTAATAATTAGTGAAAGTTTGAACTAATATTCCATGTGGTATTGATCAAAAGAGGTAAACTAACCAGTCTCTAACATGGTTGTGAACTATATTAATTCACCTGGCTCAAAAATTATTAAGAAAAACCAGAGATTTTAGAAAACCTGTCACATCATAGGATACCAACCTCAGCTACATGACAAGATTACTCGGAGCATAAGCTTTAGAAATACAACTGTAAACCTCTTTAAAATCGAAAATAAAAGCATCACTTGGGGGCAAATATTTGGCACAGCAGTTAAGATGCTGCTTGAGAGGCCTGCAGCTCAAACCAAAGTTCTTGGGATTTTGCTCTCCACATAGAAGATGGAATTGCAGGTTCCTGGCTTCGGCCTGGCTCATCCCCAGCTCTTACAAGCATTTGAGGAGTGAACCAGCATTTGGAAGCTTTCTCTTTCTCATTTTCACATTAGAAATAAACAAATGCCTCAAAAAAGCAATAACCTGGAGAAACAGCCAAACTGAGCTCATGATCGTAGGTACACACCCACTGTTTTGGGTTTTTTTTTTTACATACAGATTCAAAATGCAGCAGCCTGGAACATAATGAGCACACTCGTGGATTAAGCTACTGATTATAGTCCTTTTCCCAAGGCTGATTGTAAGAGGTGTTTTCCTCGACTCAGGTCATTATTAAACGATAACGATTTGCATTTCATAAGAATGTTTAATTGTCACAGGTCTGGCATTCCACAACAGAAGACAATGTGATTATTTGGGGGTGGGGGGTACACAATCAAGAGAGAACTTTAAGCACTGTGAACAGGAAAATAATAGAATGAACATAAGGTTAATGAACTCAGTTTTTTCTAGTTAGTTTAAAACGGTAATTACAATAATAAACATTTGTATTTCTTACTTTCATCAGAGTATAATTAATCCTTTTATGGTTTTGCCTTTCTCAACTTTCTTAGGAACGTATTATTTTGCCTTGATTTTGTCTGTTTTTAGTCCCAACCATGTATTAAACTTGCAAAGCAGAACACTTCTCGGTTCTTGCTTGATTAAAACTTGATCAAAATTTTAAAGTGCATATTAAAGTATTTCATAATTACATTGTGTTCTCATATGGAAATGACAGGATTTTTTTTCCTGTTTTTTTAAAAAAAAATTATATTGATCCAAGCATGATTAAAAAGAAAGGGACATTTACTCACAGGGATCATCCAGTTTGCCAGGTCACCATACTTGGAAACTTGCATTGCTCCTAGCATGGTTAGATCGATGTGGCCGCTGAGAACGAAAAAAAGAAGACTCCTAAAGCAAATGTCACAAGCTTTCTGTCCCTTTTACTTGACACGGACAGTAGTTTCAATCATTTTTTCTCCCCCAAATCCTTTATCTTTCTCTTGTAACTAATTTCCAGATAGATCAGCTCTAAGCCAATGCAATAAAATAACGATTCTTTATTAAACAGTTCAGCCTCTACTGTCCCCAAAACAAACGAACAAGTGTACACAGCTGAGCCTGTTTCCCCCATGAGGGCACATGAGATGTGATTTGAGAACACCAGTTAAAAGTGAGCACACAATTTGATGAAAATGTCAGAATCCTCAGATGGGACCCTAGATATATTTCCTTCAGTCTGGTTGGCATCAGGGTATATACTGCATTTGAAGAATTCTTTTCCTAATAGTGGGCTGGACATGTCGACGTCCAACATGCAGCATGAATAATCCCACACCTTCCTGAAGCCAAAGAAACCTGTGATCGTTTCCTGCGGGAAACGGCGGCTGCGTTTAGAGCCCTGTGAGCGCACTTAAGGGATGACTCAGCTCCTTCAGCACTGTGTGAAACAGGGGGCTCCGTTATTACATACCCTCTAATCATTGCAAATGATTCATCGCTGGAGAAAAAAGAGGCTCCTGGAAGAACAGTGACTGTTTCCTTGCCTAAACACACAAAAGAAAGGAAAGCTATTAGCTTGCTAAGAGCATCATGGGGGACAGAGCACCTTCTCTGACTCCAAACGGTTAAGATCCCTGGGCCAAAAGGCCAGGCCACAAGGAGTGGTAAACAGGAGGGGAAATTGCCCACCCTATTATGAGGAATATTTTGCCACTGGCATTGTTCACCACTGTCCCTGCCTAGTGATAACAGATGAACTTTTACTGTTTGGAAATTCTCTAGAAGCAATGCAACCTCTATTGCCTATTGTACCCCAGCCCCTGCCATCCCCATTCCCTTCACAAGCCACTGCTAAACACTACACGGAATCAGGAGGAAGGCAGGGTGGAATGACACCTGTCAGGAGCCAGTGCTCCTGTAAGTCAATAGAGCAGAGAGCTGGTAGAATTCACAGGAACTTATGAAGAAATGCCATTTTGAGAGGATTGACACAGGAAATGCTCTCATTCATTTTCTTAAGTCTATTTAAAACTTAACAGTTATAAGATGAAATTGTTCTGAGGAGTTAATGTACAGCATGGTAGATATAGCTTAAAATACCATCTTGTACACTTAAACTGGTAAGTGATGAATATGCATTTGACTTGGTTATGCTAATAACTTCATAAAATACAAATACATCAACTCAACATGTATACCTTGGCTGTATATAAATTTGTTCATTGTACTCCAATAGATGGTGTATAAAATCAAAATAAAGATCAACAAATCATATAGAAAGGTCCCACCTAATTCCTTAGTGGTGTTAGCTTGAGAGTTTCCCTACCATACATCATTACCCTCTTGCTCCTATAAGCTCCTACTCACACAACAGGAAGCACGGCTTTAGTCTAGTCATGTCCCATAGCAGAGTGCCCAGGTTCCAGTCCCAGCTCTGCTCCTGGTTCCAGCTTCCTGCTAACGTGCACCCTGGGAGGAAGCAAGCACTGCTTCCTGCCGCACATGTCAACAATCTGGATTGCATTCCAGGATTTCATCTTCAACCCCCAGCTTGGGATCACCAACTACTGACTTTTGAAATCAAAATAACAAACAGGAGCTTTCTCTCCTTTCCTCTTCCTCCCTTTTCTCTCCCTTCTCTCTCTCTCTCTCTTCTTGCCAAATAAATGTTTAAACTGTAAGGCCTTGATGAAATCAATGAATAAGATGGTGATAATGGCCAAGATACTTAATGTTAATTTCAAGAGGTGCTCTTGAAAGACACCCTGCCCAAAATTTACATTCCATTATAGAAGCCGAGAGCTAAGAAAGATTTTCAAGGTCATCCAGTGACTACACAGTAATATCACCTGACTCCCATCAAAGCTGCTCTCATCTTGCCAACTATTTCCTCTGTTCAAGGGCATTAGCTGCCCAGGAACAGCTTCTGGTCTCAACCAGAAAAGCACTCACACGCCAATTAGTCAAAGATAAGTCAACTAAGGGAGAACATGCTTAGCCACAAGGTTTCAGCACATATCAAAAAAAGGAAAGAACAGGGAAGAAAAGTAGTAGCCAAGATTCACCTAGAGAAAAAACTCCCATCCCAAAAGGCTGAGAAATCATGTGACTGGTCCGTAAGTAAACACAGCTAGACCCTGCTCTGCTTGCCCTCCTTGGAAGCTTGCCCGCCCATCAGTATTTCCCACCATCGGAGGTCAAGAATGAAGAGAGAGTAAACCTATATATAGGTTGCTGAACTGTTTATTCTCTGGAGGAATTTGATCCTAAATCATGGAAACATGTTCACATTTTTAAGTGAAAAAGCTTTGGCAAATATTTTTCACAGGGTGTTTAGACAGCACGGAAGACACGGAGAATAAAGTTAGAGAACACATGTAAAGCCTTTACGCCTCCTGTGCCTGGTAGACAGAAAGGGCTTCAAACACATTAGCATTTGTTACTGTCGGTGTTATTAATCCTCTCTAAACCCACTGATGAAAGAAACAAATGCCATTGCTCCTCTAGAGACCCAGTAACTGCTTCACACAGTGAGGACACATGGCCAGCCGGCGTGGGTTCTATGTTTTAAAACATGCAATAAACTGTATCTTACTGTAATAAACTTCTGTGATCAGCATAACCATCTCCTTACCACCATGGCTGTGAGATGGAGAGGCAATGAAGAACAAAAACAAAACAAACACAGGGAAGAAAATATAACAATCTTCACTAAATTGCAATACCTTCTAAAGGAGCATCTCTACTGGCTCATAACAGCCCATAAGCGTTGTTTACCAACTCAGAGGAAACTCAGGTCAATCGGAAGTGTTTGGCTCTCCCTCTATAATTAAGGAAGCCTAATTTCATTAAAGAATCCAGAAAATAAGTCTCATAAGAAAAAAAAATAATCAGAGGCCAGCACTGTTGCACAGCATGATAAGTTACTTGGAATGCCGACGTTCCCTGTCAGTGTGGCAGTCCAGCTCCTGGCTGCTCCCCTGCTAAGGAGCCTAGGAAGACACTGGACAACGGCCTGAGTACTTGACCCCTGCCCGGGAGATCAAGATGGAGTTTTTGGCTCTTAAGCTTAGCCTAGTCCAGAACAAACTGTTGCAGCCATTTGAAGAGTAAACCAGAAGAGAAAAGACCTCTCTCTCTGTTTGCTTTTAAAATGCATACATATATATATAATACAAAATATTTTAATATAAAATATGCACATATATTTTAAGATATCAGGTCTTTATCAATCCCATCTAGCACTTTATAAAAGTACATTTTTGGATAAGTAAATTTTCAATATTTTTAAACACCAAATATTTAAACAAAAAATAGAAACTCTAAAGCTTAATCTATGCTTTGCAAATTCAAGATCCACATCTGATCAAGAAAAAAGTCAGAACCATAATTGATAAAACATTCAACAACAGAAAAGACGACTGCCTTATTTGGCTCTTCCGGATTGATCTGTGTATATATCTGAACCACTTTATGATACTTGAGAAACAGTTTCACAGTTCCTGAGTCCTCTGACTAATCACAGGTCATTCCTTCGATATTGATTGAAGGCCTGGTGGGTTCCTTGAACTGCATTACTAACAAAATTCAGCTACACTCAATTGTTGGTTCACTAACTCTGGTATCAATTCAGCAGCACATGGAGGCATTATAACATGCAGGCTGCTGCATCTGATTCCCAGGGTTTCTTACGCAGAAGGTATGTGATGGTGCCAGGGAGTTTCCTTTGCTAGAAGTCCCCAGGGACACTCATTCTGTGGGTCTGGGAACCTGGAGAAGCACTGCCCCAATCCAACTTGGCAGCAAGAGAGAGAAATACCTCCAAACACCATGAAGACACAAAGGTGGATCTTACGAGAAGGGCATTCGACATGCTGTGGGCTCAGACGAAAGGCAATCCCGTCCTATAGAATGAGTCAGAGGACAGCTGAACTGGCACTTGAAGGACAGCTACAGTATGTTTGAGGAGATGGCAATGAAATTGGGAGGGGCAGAATTAAAGCATGCAGGAAAGAAAACACGAGCCATCTTCAGAGATGCCCCCAGCACATCAGGCTAGTCCTGTGTGGATGGACAAAGGCAGCCCTGCAGGTCTCAGGGAAAGACAACGCTGGCAAGCTTGGCTCAATCATCAGAGAGATGTGGAATGTGGTGCTGTTTGTACTGTAATCTACAGGTCTGTGTTTCTCCATACCGGATTCGTTCTCGGCACTACTGACAGTGGGGCTGACTAATTCTTGCTGGGAGTTATGGCAGGTCATTTCCCAGCATTCCTGGCCTCTATCCATTCCATGTCAACAGCACTCCTTCTCCCAGGCAGGATCATCCGAAATGTCTGCAGACATTACTGAATGTCCCCAGTGAATGAAAAATCACATCCTCACACACCCTCTAACCTGTTCAACAGCAAGGCTGTGAAGTATAGATGACAGGACAACGTTTACTGGTCAGCAGATGAAAACCGGTCATTTAAAACATGATTTACACATTAAAATAAGACAACACTAACAAAGGTTGCAAAATGCACAAAAATACCAAAACAAAAACCCAAGACATGGAAATCCTACAGCTGCATGGGTTTACTGCAGGATCAGGCCCCTGAAATGCTCTAAGCCTCAATCACTTAGGATTGTATTTTGGTACGAGTTGGGTTCTCAACAAGGATTTGGAAAAAGGGGACAGGTCAGCAGTGCTGATCACAGTCACTTTACTTTTATGGGCTTCAGTTTTCTCAATTGGGATGACAAGGTTTTTTTGAAGTGCAAATGGTACAACGTACTTGAAAAAGTAGTCTTCAAGCTACTTTTAGTGGTTTGCAAGCAGAATTCATGTTTCTATAATCTTTCTATGAAACTACTATTTAGAAAAACTGACCCCTGGAAACAGATCTATAATTATTTTGAAATTTTAATACACCAATTATACCTAAACACATAACTCTTTGTATTCATTCAACAGGATTTCTTAAAAAACAACACAAATCACACAAAAAAAATCAAATTAACACAAATAAACAATGGAAGTAACTTTCCAGGAAACTTTTAGATAATTCGGGAAGTTAAGGAAGTCATTAGCTAATGTTCTAGCCTCTCTAATTTATATAGCTGCGAAAATCCAAAGCATTCATCAAAAAAAATGCCAATAAAAGACCTCAATAAGTGAGTTAGAATGTAGTACATTGTACTACAGAAAGAGGGAGAAACAGAGAGAGAGTCTCCCTCCACTGGTTCCCTCTCTGACTGTCAAACAATGGCAAGAGGTGGGCCAGTCCAGAATCAGGAGCTGGGAGATTTTCTGAGTCTCCCAATGGGTGCAGGAACCCAAGCACTTGGGCCATCCTCTATTGCTTTCCCAGACACTCTAGCAGGGAGCTGATTAGAAGTGGAGCAGTTAGACCTCGAACTGGTGCCCAGGAGGATTGTTGGTGCCTCAGGCAGTAGCTTTACTCATCATCACACCATAGCCTGTGTGTGCGTGGGTTTTTTTTTTCTGTTTGTTTTTGAGGTTTATTTATTTTTACTTGAAAGGAATAGTTTACAGAGAAAAAGAAGAAATAGAAACAGGGAGAGATATCTGACATCTACTTGCTCACTCCCCAAATGGCCTCAACAGCTAGAGCCACGCTGATCCAAAGCTGGGAGCCAGGAGCTTCTTCCAGGTCTCCCACAGGGGTGCAGGAGGGCCATGTCTTGGGCCATCCTCCACTGCTTTCCTAAACCATAAGCAGAGAGTTGGATCAGAAGTGGAGCAGCTGGGAAATAAACATGGGATGTTGGTACTTGCAGGCTGAGGTTTAACATACTGTGGTACTGTGTGTCAGCCCCTGCGTTCTTGCTTTGAAAAGCAGTTTAATGTTGTATGTCATATTTCAAAGGGTAAAATATAAAACTGGTGAATTGAGCTGCTTTCAAGCTCAGCAGAATTGGGAATGCCTACCGTTCAATGATGTCACTGAAAAAATTAATTTCCAAGGAAAAGTGGGTTATATGAACTCAAGCCTGAAATTTGGAAAATGGAGTTATTCATTTTGCAAATAACTCACTAATATCATAAATTAATTAAACCAAGCAGCAAATATTTTTCACAGATCAATGAACTATTGCTAAAGGGTATGGTACAATTAAATCATAGCCTTGGTTAAATGTCACTGCTTTAGCACAGAGGGCCTTTCAGAGTTGAGTTGTGTTAACTAATTCAACTATTCAACCAGAAGCTGTTTTACTTGGAAAATTTCTAAGTGTCAAACATCAATTCTACTTGGCAGCTGGCCTTTATGTTCAGTTTCTATTACTTCTGACATCAACACATACTATTTTGGGGTGCACAGGAAGAATTTGTTTGTAGGCATAGAAGAAATAAGAGTAACAGGGTGCAGAGAATCAGGCCAGAACACAAAAATCAGCTTCTCACAGCAGCCCCAGCCCAAGGACGATTCATAGCCCAGACCTGCTGATAGGGTTGGCTGAAGCGCAAACAGCCATGAGAGTTAAAAGGCTTAATCTGTTCTTCCTCCCTGAGGTTACTGATATGTGAGTCTACATGGATACCTTTAAGAAGCTCATAGAAGAATGAACTTAAAAGGAAGTATAAACTGGGGCCAAAAAGAAAAAAAAAAAAAACAGAAACCCATTCACACTTTTTTCATAATATACATTTTTGGTGAACTTTCTGAAGATCCTTTGCATGAACTCCAGTTATTTAAAGTCACAATACAAGGCAAAGCTAATGAGCACAGGAACAAAGAAGAGGAAAAAGTTATGGTCCTCAGTTCGCGTCACCGGGATGTTCTTAGCACCAGAGGACTCCTTTAAGCATCCTTGGAGGATATTCTCCCAATCCCCACTCCCAGTGAGGACTACAGGGCAGCAAGTACCAACTACCATCAAAACTCTAGAGTGGCAGATCGGTCCTTTTTGCTATAGTGAGTCCTCCCCCTACCTTCTCCATCCCGACAAGGCTGTCCTGTTTCCAGCTGGGATTGGGCAAAGCAAGGCACAAGCAGGAGACCCAACAGAGGCTGCCCTCGTCCCACTTGGGATATGGCAGGACAGTGATGTTTCTCTCCCAGTCTGCAGTCCTGTTACATACCTTCCTACCACTGCTGCTTAATGACTGTGAACTTCACCAATCTGCCTTGGTTTCCCTTTGCCCTTCTAAATCCTTGTAAATTGTCTTTTTCTTTAATTCCCCTTAATTACCCCCATTTGAGAATGTTGCCTATTTGTTTAAAACTTTGCTATTGAACATGCCCTCACCTGTCCTTCCTCACTTCATCTAAGACATCCCCAAAGCGAAGAGACTCCAGAGAAGGACCAGAAAAGTTTACCTGCCTTCTCAATAAATGAACATTCTCCAGGAAAAACATGGGAATTTATTCCAAGTCCATAGTATGATAAAGCTCAGGATTAAAGTTACAGCAAAGGGAAATAAACACACACACACACACAACACACACACACACAACAGTGTGTTTACCTGCATTGATTAGATCTGCATCAACTTCATGTTTCAATGGATATGGACCCTGTCAGATACAGGATACCTCCAATTAGTAAAATGGTAATATAAATAATTTCCCTAAGACCCTAAGAAGTTATCACTCAAGGACCTAAGGGGAACCTTTTAAAAATAATTCCAATGTTTTTACAGCTCTGTTTCTCATATTGATTACTCAGTGCTACACAAACTGCCTAGGCAAATCGCTGATTAACCTGGAGCTGAGATAGAGTCAGAGCCAGCAGCTGGAGGCTGGGAACGTGAACCACGCCTCTGCTGAGAGTAACAGTGACTCAAGCAAGGGTGTCATCACCACCGCCCCCTGGTGTCTGTACTGGTCAAAGCCAGGGTCCATGAACTGGAGACAGCAATCACCCTAAGGTCAAAGCCAGAGTAAATGAACTGGAGCCAGCAATCACCCCAAGGTTAAAGCCAGAGTCCATGAACTGGAGCCAGCAATCACCCTAAGGTCAAAGCTGGGGCCCATGAACAGGAGCCAGCAATCACCTCAAGGTTAAAGTCAGAGTCCATGAACTGGAGCCGGCAATCACTCCGATGTAGAATATGGAAATCTTCACTACCAGACTAAGCACTTGTTCCCTATTATTTACATTTTAAATAGGAGATACACATCACATTTACAATTTTCACTGATTTAGCAGTTACAATATATTAAGAAATAACAAAAATAGAGATATTTATAACTTGGCAAACTATAAATAATCACTGCCATCTTACCAAACCCAGGACTCCATTTTCAGTTTGAAGATGAACTGTCATATTTGGGCTGATAAAGTTGCTGGCCAGAAGAGGGATTCCTATACCCAGGTTAGCTATAAAAATATAGACATTAAGGCCCAAAACACAAAACGTGGAGAGATTATACTGTAAACCTCTACATATAGAAATATGAACAGAAGAATTATTTAAGGGCACTTGTTTTGAATATAAAAATAAAAGATCTTTAATTCGCCTCAACACACTATTTTGTAATTTCTCAAATGTCCAACTAGTCACAGCTTTTTCAGTAACATCAATCTACTTTCTCACAGATATCAAAGTGATGGTTTCAGAAGCTAGCTAAGAGGTCATTTTAACAAAAATGACAGATTTTATTTTCATTAACGTGCTCAGCATGTAGGATATATTATGAGTGATTTGTTACAAAACATAGCTTTATTTTGGTGTAAAATTATTTTTGCTACCATAAGAATAAAGATGATCTAAAGTATTTCAAAAGGGGATACTATTTTTAGTATCCATTTATTTTTACTTGAAAGACATGGTGGGAGGGAAGGAATCTTCCATCTACTGGTTCATGGCTGCAACAGCCAGAGCTGAGCCAGGCTGAAGCCAGGAGTTTCTTCTGGGTCTCCCTCATGAATGCAGGAGCCTAAGGTCTTGGGCATCTTCTTGCTCTCCCAGGCTATAAGCAAGGAGCTGAACTGCAAGTACGAAAGCCAAGACTCTAACACTGGTTCCATATGGGATGCACTAGCCCCATTTTTAAATTAAAAAAAAAAAGGTTTTTTGATCATATCCAAATGGCACTTTGATGAGAGTCCAGTAAGAGTGAAATCTCTATGAATCAAGACAGTTATAAACACTGCCCCATCATAAACTGCAAAGATGAGCAGGGCAACTCAATAACTCAGGTCACTTTTCTTCACCCAGATAAGTCTACAAAGCCATGATCATAGCTATACCATCTACCTCCTAGCAAACCACATCTAGCATAGTATTATTTATACATAATTTATCAGTGATGCACAGAGAGCATATGAACACTAATTGCATGATAAGTATTTTCATGTGTGAACAACTAAAATTAGAAGCCTTGTAGTTCAACTCTTTCATTATACGCTACTGTTTTCTCAGCTCTCTAATATTTTTTTAGTTAGTCCTGTACTAGGCAGAGAAAGCTGACATGCATGGGCTAACAAAGCTCCCAGAATGGAGCCACTGGTTATATTTTTAGTTCATCCTGTCCATCATTCAACAAATATTAAATCTGTCATATGTCACTTGTGTGCCAGTTACATTATGCAAGCATAGGTAAAGGTCTGGTGTACTGAAAAGTAACAAAATGGCAGTTTGTTATTTAAATGCATTCAAAACCGAAACACTAACCGTTCTAGCATTGTCCTCTTTTTTGACAAAGTATAGAATGCAGAATTTGACTCATTCATTGAATACCCTTAGACATAAAAGAGTGCATTCATAAGATTATTATCAAAGGAAGAAGAGAGTGGTTAAAGAAGTTGGATCTTATGTTTCAAGGACTGTGGAGATGTCAGAATAAATAGCACTGGTTATGATTAGTAGTTCCAAGATCTGGAACTCTTATCTTAGGCAACTTCTTTTCCCAAAAACCTCTAGCTAACTGTCAAATGTGTATTAGAAAATAGTAAAGTGAGTTTTGGGTGACCATTTTACTTCCAGAATGCAAATAGTATAACCCTAATTTCATAAATCATGCTACTTTAAGCTATATGCCACTTTTTATAAGCAAGTGATCAATTGCTTCAGAAGTTGCCAAGGACCAAAGATAAATCACTGTTCAGGAGCTGAGCGACCTGATGAATGCAGAGTGAGCATGGGCTACTTCTCTGCCCATCTCGGAGAAAGGATACCATACATGCCGTCCTCGAACTCCAGGGCTGCCCGCCGGATGATGCGTTCCCTCACATCATCCTTACTTTGTTTAGGTTTGGCTTTTCCATCTTCTTCCTTCCGGAGTGATATACGCTTTAAAAGAAACAGAAATCAGTTCTCCATACTTGAAGGCATAAGTTGTATTATCACTGCTGGAATACAAAAGTAACTCTTTCTCATTACTACTAAGAGATCAATGTATCTGCAATTTAACAAGGAATTAAAAGAATAACATAGGTGACACTGGAGGATAGAAATAATCCTTTAGGAATTAAATGAGAGAAGTCGCTTGTCTCTTTGTGAAGCCCCCACTGCCCTCTGTCGCTGCCACTCTGCAGCTGCAACCCTGTGCTGCCGGAGACGCCTACACCTGCTTCTCCCTGGGTACTCTCAGAGGGCACCAGAGAAAGAAAACAGGACTTTGGGAGCCTCTTTTCGGAAGCTTCAGAATGTGGTTATCAGGTGTCGCTGTTGCCAACAGCCTATTTTCACCTGCAGACTGTAGACTGGCTTTGCTATTTCATTCAAATAACAGAAATGTCCAGAAACCAGTAGGAAATTTTAGGTTTTATCATGCATTTATTTGCTAGGCAGAGACATGGCAAGAAAGAACACAAGAAAGAGTGAGTATTCACGCACTCTCATTGGTTCTCTCAAACAGCAAACACCTGCAACAGCGAGGGCTGAGACCAAATGGAGCTACAAGAATTGAATCCAGGTCTCCCACATTAAGTGGCAAGAATTCAATTATTTGACCCATTAGTTCTGGGTGCATTAGCAGGAAACTAGAGACAGGAGGGAAGGTAGGCATGAAACGCAACACTCCAAGACAGGAATGAGCATCCTAATCAAATACTCAGCATCCCAGGAAGCTATTGCTAAACTTTCTTGACACGACTCCATTCCTGCTTGCAAATGTGCCACCCTTTCTTCCTAGACCGCTGGATTATAGAACATCTTTCCGTAGGATAATCTACTACATTATGAATCTGAATCTTGGGATCAATTCTGGCCCAGCTGGTCATCTTTTAAGCTCTCACTGGTCTTCAGTGATCCTAGTACCCGACCTTGCACAATCTAGTATCTCCTAGCTATACACAATCTAATGCTAACTTAGTACAAGTGTAAAGCAACTTTATGATATACATTTCTGGAAAATCTGACATTAAGAATCTAGCAGGGATAAATTCATCAAATACCTGATTATCCTTCTCAGCCTTCTAACACAGTCAACCAAAACCTCATGTTATAACGTAGGACAATTACAGAGGGCTGACAGACACAGCCTAAGAAATACAGGACATGGTGGAATACACCTTATGAAGACAGGGCAGTATCAAGTTGAACAACAGCATCCACGTTCCCTTAAGTGGATACATAAGAAGTTCTGACCAAGACCCACAGCAAGACAGCCTGATGAGCAACAGTGCTGTGAAATGACCCAAGGAACAATTACCTCTGGTAATCTGATCCATAAATACTGATCAAGATGTTAAATTGCTTACCTCAATTCTTTTCTCATATTTTTCTCCCTTTATAAGGCGATGCACATAAATTTTAGGAACATGGATATCTTCTGGAGCAAATGATCCAGTGTCTACAATTTCTTCAACCTAGACAGACAAAAAGAAAAAATAATATTTTTAAATCAGATGGTGAAAACTCAACACTTTTCACCACTGTTTCTAAAGGTACAGATGCTCTTATTTATAAAAGCCAGATAACGCAGAGCTAAGTTGTTATTTTTACCTGTTTAATGTGAAACACAGGGGGACAGAGAGAGGGAGGATAGACAAAGTGAGAGAGATTCCATTCTCAGGTCCATGCCCCACATGCCCACACTCCACGTCTAGGCAAGGATGACACCAGGAGTCAGCAGCTGCACCCGGGTTTCCAATGTGGGTAGCAGGAATCCAATTACATCCACCGTCGTCTACTGCCTTTCCAAGCACATTGCCAGGAAGCAGGACAGGAAGCAGAGGCAGGACTGAAATGCACATGCTAAACAGAATGCAGGGGTCCCACACAGTGGCACACCACAATGCCACCCCTCTGTCACTGCCAACTGTTTCAGTTTTCAGAAGAGAAGTACATGCATCCCCATCTCCAAAACAGTTCGCATCAACAATGGCAACAAATATGAGGCAACATATATCCATATATGTACATATGTGCAAGGCAGATTGTATAGAAAAAGCAGTCAATGCATGCAGCTGAATATACAATACAAAAAAAATAATAAAGTTCCAGAAGTCAGTGTTTGCCTAAAACAGCTCCTATGAATCAATGTGTCGAATGGGTTCATCAGGACAGCTGTTTGAACTTTTCACAAATTGCAGCTCAACTATGCAAAACTTGAAAGTTCATGCCTTAAACACAGATTTTCAAAATTAACGGGAGCTTTATCATATCAAAGACAAAAATCTGTAACAACATCTGCTTGGGCAATTGAAAAGCTTTTTAAATATAGCTTTTTACATACAAATGCTATTTGTAACACTTTTTAATTGTCCCTGTTGTTAGCTCCCTGAGACCGTGACAGAATTGCAATCACTGAAATGATTTCACTTCTCTTTTTAATATGGAAATTTCAAAAAGGAAATATTAATAACTAGAAATATTCAATTTCACATGAATTAAAGTTATTCATATGGCCCACAGGCATTTTGCAGCACTATCAAATGCTTCGAAGTTGATCTGTTATTTTAGAATTCATTTTTTAAAAGTAAAAATAATCAGAATTGACAAGGATCAAGAAAAACCAAAGTCAACATTGTTATGATCAAAAACTAGCTTTCTCAAGACAAATAAATACCCTCAAATCTTGATTACTCAGTTTAACAGATACCATAGAAACCATGAATAAGATCTGCTTAAATGAACCAACTTACATACAGAGAGTCACATCATCCTTTTCTCCTAAATAATTTTTAAAGCCACCTACAAGTCTGTAAGGCTAAGCAGATTTCTTCATGCCATTCTACTGCTAAATGCCCCATTCAGGCTTCCTTCTAAAGAGAAATACCAGGATTGATTCCTGCATTTGCACAGTAGATTAAGCCTCTGTAACAAGAGCCGAGGTGATTCAAGCCCTGGCTGCTCCACTTCTTATTCAGCTCCCTGCTTACAGCCTGGGAAAGCAGCAAAAGACAGCCCAAGTGCTTGGGCCCCTGCACCCATGCGGCAGACCCAGGAAGCTCCTGGCTTCACCCTGGCTCACTCTGGCTGTTGGCAGACTTTTGAGCAGTGAATCACCAAAGGAGATTCATTTTCCCCCTTCCCCTCTCTCTATCTATCTTTCCAAAAAAGTGGAGAAAGAAAAACTTTAAAAAGTTGCTGTTTTCAAGCAATACCAGTGATTACGAGATAGTCTAACTATGGTGCAATGTTTCCAATCGGCTGAAAAGGGGCACTGTGAATGTAAGCTATCCTCTCTGATAAGCAGAGGAACCTAGACCAAAGAACTCCAAGAAAAGTCAGAAAGTATGTGAGCATTTACGATGAACTAGGGCAGACATGCATCTGGGGACGAGTTACAGGGAGACCTGGAGGATTTCTTATCACTACACTACACCCTTCCCTCCAAATGACTCTAGGCACTGGTGTTCTGTGTCCCAGGAAGTGACCCAGAGAAGGCAGACACACCAGGCGCAGAGCAGCAAAGCTGCTGCCACTTCTGCATGTGGTTGGGGTTGCAGTGGATCTGAAGCCAACAGCCAGGAGCTTCCTCTGGGTCTCCCATGCAAGTGCAGGGTCCCATCCTCTACCACTTTCCCAGACCACAAGCAGGGAGCTGGATGGAACAGCAGAGATACAAACCAGCGCCCACATAGGACCCTGGTGTATGCAAGTAAGGATTTAGCCATTAGGCCATCACACCAGGCCCAGGCTCTTGAATTTTTCTTGAATTACTCCAGCAGCTTTTCTAATTCAGCCCCTGCTTCCCCAGGACTAAGGAACATGACAGAGAAGTGGGAAAACTTGGTGCTCTTTCCATAACCCAGAAATGATGATAGAAATCCAACAACAATTTCTTGAGGTTCTACCAAGGTTTCAATTAAAAAAAAAATACCCAATTAAGACAAGCCTTCATTACTAGGGCAATTATATCCTTGACACTTACCCAAACCCACTAAAATCCCGGCCACACCTTCAAGTGGCCCAGCCATTCCCTAACTGGTTGAGAGACCACCCATGGGGAGCCTCTTCCCAGCAGGTTCCAGCCCAGACAAGGAGGGGTCAAGGAACTCTTAAAATCCCAAGACCCTCCTGAAAACCTTAGGTGTCTCTCCCTCTCTCCTTCCAAGGCCCCCCCCCAATCTGCCAGCCCTCCCCCAGGAGGTGCGTTTCCCTCTCCCTCTTCTGTCTAGGTTCACCTGGCCACTTTTTGCAAATAAAACTTCTCCGTCTGCAATTAATTCCTGGCTTTTTTTTTTTCCATACTAAGCTGAGCAAAGAAACCACATCATCACTTTCACAATAAACACAAATAGCTAGTCAAACAACTCCAAGTGACAGGTAACTCTACCCCATGCTTTGTCATTCTAACCTAAGCAATAACATTGTAAAAAATACATGGGCATCATTTGTCAAAACAATCTCAGCACTCAAGTCGTGAATATTTCAAAACATATACAAAAAGGCCCAAAGCCTTTCTGGGGCTTGGCTGGCAGAGTTAACAGAAGAGGCAGAAAATATTTGAAGCACTAATCAAAAGAAGAAAGCATATGCTTTTAGACAATCTGTGAAAGAAAAAGTTTAAAAAAAAAAAAACGGAGAGACAGAACTCTTCATGCTGGCTGTGGAAGGGATTGAAGTATGGGCTAGTTTTATATGATCTTAGGAACACTAAGAACCATGGGGTGGTCAGAAACTCTAGTGTGATCAGCTGATTCCATAAGAGTCAAAGGAAATATGAAAAGAAAATGATCAATGAAATGAGCTTACTAGAGAAGATGGGAAATTAAAGATCCCGAGATCCCTCATGCAAGATGGCAGAATGCCCCTCCTGCCGTCAAAAGTGGGTCACACAGGAACCAGGAAGAAGACTCAGTGTGCAGAACAGGGCAGGCCTCAGTGTGCTCCAGCAAGATCAGGATCTGGCAAGGTCTAAAGGAACACCTCAGATCTCTCCCAGGCACGGGGAAGTTTTCGGAAAGCACCATCTGGTACAATTAGAAATCCAGACACTTGAGGCTTCTCTAATTAGTACTTGTCTTCAGTCATTAGCAGGAAAACGGAGGCTAGGAAATGTTAATTGCTATTGATTTGAACTTTGCTTTAAAAGGTTGCTTTCTCTGCCCTGCACCCTCCCTGCTTGATAATTCTGCAAAGTTTTATTTTAACACTCAGGGAAGGATGAGGATTCATCCCTGGGTGATGAAGTTTTTGCATTGACTTGGCAAATATCATTTATATCTCTGGTAAGGGGACAGAGGAGCTGCAAGGCAATGACGTTCTTACTTTTTATTTTATTTTAGTGACATCCTCAATCCGTTATACCTAAGAAAACAGGCCCAATCTTAAGGGTTCTTAGTGAAAAAATGCCGCACTCCTGCAAAACTTCATAGGCAACACAAAGGGAGGAGGGCAGGGGCCACTCACATTCCAGATCCACCCCTTCCGCCCACCCCAGGCATTTTAACTTACAAATGTTTAGAAGGAAGGTTTGTTCTTTCTTTCTCTTTTTCTTTCTTTCTTCCTTCCTTTCTTTCTTTTTCTTTCTTTCTCTCTCTCTTTCTTTTTTTCTTTTTCTTTTTTTTTGTCAAGATATAAAAAAGACCACAAAAAAGCAGTGACATCCAGAATCATAAGAAACACTAAATAATCCACAAATAGGAAAAAGCCATACACAACTAGAGAAACAGAAGCAGTAGGCAATGAGTACTAAGACAAAAAGCTGCAAGTTAGCTGCAGAGGTGTCCTGGGTCAGGAGTTCATCCAAAGGGGGAGTGGGCCGAAGAGCAATACAAGCATACAAAGCATCATCCTGGAGAACCCAGAGGCGAGAGCGTAACACAGACAAGCTGCGTATCTCCCAAGCTTCCTGCGTGGAGGTTCAAACACATCTGAGCTAGGGTGGCCATTTCACGCAGACGGTAAGATGGTGCTTAGAACACCTGTGCAACACCCTCAGTCCCACACACGTGTGCCCGGGGTTAGAGTACAGACTCTGCTTTCAATCCAGATTCCAGCTTCCTGGTATAACGTGCACCCTGGGAAGCAGCAACCGAGGCCTCAATCACTTGGGTTCCTACCACCCACTTGGGAGATCCAGAATGAGTTCCCAACTCCTGGCTTTGGCCTGGCCCATTCCTGGTTATTGTGATTATGTGTGACATAGTGTAGCCAGTCAGTGCAACCTCAAGGATCGGAAGCCACACCCTCGCCACCCTATTAACTTTGTCTGCCCATCAATCAGTCAGCCCCTCCTACAGAACTACCCCCTCTCACCCGGAACCTGGGGTGTTGCCACAGGATCAAGCTCCTAGGAATCCAAAAGGGGGGAGCTCGCTCTCTTTCTTCCTTTGGACTCTGCAAACAGGAAGTAGACACCTCTCTCTCTCCCTCCTTTTCTCTCCCTGCCCCACTCTATCCCTGAATAAGGCCTGTG